CGATTCAGAAAGGCGGGGCATAGAGGAGAAACAATAATGTACAGTATGTCGAAAATAATGTGTGAAACCACATAAACACATTTCATTATACCATATACACAAAATAATGTTCTTTTTAGCAACGTCATATGACCCCTTCAACTAAAAGTAATATGAATGCAGGAAATATAACAAAATAAAATCTAATTCAAAATATTCTCAATGATACTAAAATTTATTTAGTTTAACATGATATCAAATTAAAATAAAACTGTAATAAAGTTAATAAAATATTAATAAATTATTTAAATACTACATACATTTAAAAATAATAATAAAAATTACAAAAACACCCAACAAAGCAACTAAAACTTTGTTGGTAAAATTGAAAATGAAAATGAAAATGGAAAATACAAAAATAAAACAAAAAATAAAACACTGGAATAAATTAATTAAAAAATTGACAATATTTTATTAGTGAGATGACAGCAATGGTAATCTAAATGTAAAAATATATTAAATTAGTATGTGCGATGAAATGTACAATGTCAATTGATACATTGATAAACTAAAAAGTATCAGCCAATAACCAATATGGTACAGATATATTGTGCATCCCTAAATAAATATGCCTTTTGCCCCAATAATCAAACACACCTGAACAAGCTAATCAATGTATTCAAGATCACTAGAAAGCTACAGGCAGGTGTGTTTGATTAGGGTTGTAGCCAAACTCTGCAGGACAGTGGCCCTCCAGGACCAAAGTTGCCCAGCCCTGCCTTAAACAGCAGGACCTAACTAGTTTAGGCCAGTGGCAGCTCGTCGGGGGAGGCAGGGAAGGCACAGCTTCCCCATCATTTTGAGGTGAAAATGGGAGGAGGACGATTTAATGGTAATAAAATTCACAATTCATTTCAGTTCATGTCTCAGAATGTGTATTTTTTGTTTGTAATTTCACAGTTGTAATATTATAACGTGAAAGCGCCGCTTTTCTATCGTGAATGTGCCGAATCTGCTGATGTAATTACAACCGCTAATGATTGAGAAAGGGTAGGGGGAGGCCGGGGGAGAGCTGAGCTCTCGTGCCTCCGTTGGTAAAAAAAAAATAGCCAATCAGCATCGAGTGTTCACTTTCAGTGCTGAGGAGTGTTGAGAAAAGAACCTTCGCAAGGGAGGCTAGCCTCCCTTCTGATATCAACCAGTCATCACAGAGACGTAAATTACGTGATATTAGTTTGAATGTCTCCCGCTGCGCTGATAATGTACCAAGTAGCCATGAGTAGCGATATTCAATTAGTGTGCCTCCTCTATTTTAAAACCCATGAGCCGCCACTGGTTTAGGCAAACCTTTTAACTATGGGTTATTTTCTAATTGCATATCTTAGGAAATGACACGTTGTACTGGACAGACATGGGCTCCAACAGAATCTCTAGATCCAGTCGAGATCAGACCTGGAGAGAGGACATCGTCACAAGCGGTCTCGGACGTGTTGAAGGACTAGCGGTGGACTGGATTGCAGGTGTGAAGGTTTCTCTTATTTTAGCATTTCTGTGCATTTCCAAATTGATGTTGTCAAGCTTATTGTTTCTCTGTTGGTTCAGGGTCTTTGTTGCTTTGCATCCAAAGGTAATATTTACTGGACGGACCATGGCTTAAATCTCATCGAGGTTGCTCGATTGAACGGCATGTACCGCGCCGTGGTGATATCTGACGGTCTTCATCAACCCAGAGCCATTGCTGTACACCCAGTGAAAGGGTATGTATCTGCCTTTGTATGTTTCCACTCTGAAAATACACTGTGGTTTATTTTTTTCTAATGCTAAGCTTCAGTTTCACCCAAGTGTGGCAACAGCATTTAAATGAATGACCTATGATTGTCTAGAGAGCAGTTAGCATGTGCAATTAGCACCTCAAAGCTTGTTAACTGCAGATGTACGTCCTCCTTAAAGGGGTCATATGATGCGATTTAAATTTTTCCTTTCTCTTTGAAGTGTTACAAGCACTTGGTGCATAAAGAAGATCTGTAAAGTTGCAAAGACTAAAGTCTCAAATCCAAAGAGATATTCTTTATAAAAGTTAAGAGTCAACCACACCTACCTAAAACGGCTCGTTCTAACACACCCCCACATGTCTACGTCACGTTGTGGGCAGATTTGCATAACGCCACCCAAATGTTCAATTATGTCCCCACTGGATGCAACAAATGCCTCGTTTATAATGGGTTTTAATGTTTTTGTCTCGTCACTCCGGCCGAGACATGGCATCACAGTATGGTAGGGGCATAAAAACCGCATAAACACATTTCATTACACCAAATACACAAAATAATGTTCTTTTTAGCAACATCATATGACCCCTTTAAAGGCCTTATAATTTCCTTTTTATTCATTTTAATTTGAGAGGGCCATCATAATCTTGACCTCATGTTTCTAATGAGTTATCCCATTATCTACAGCTTTGTACTGTAAAAGTGAAGTATAAACATTAAGCTTCAACATATTTCAGATCCCTATCATGTGGCTGCATCTATTTTTGGGTCCTATCTGTACCTCTATCTTGCTTAGAAATGGATCAATAAGATTCGGTCGATTTGTAGAAATAATTTGACTCAATTAAGTAACTTTTTTGAATTGGATTAACCTGGAATGACTTCAAAGATCCCTGTTGCAGTTTGGAAGTGACTCTGTTTGCCTTTTTGTATTAACAATTAATTGGTACATATTATTCCAAAGAAAAGTTTTCCTTATAGTCTGGCATCAAAATAACTAGCTTCACTTGAAACCACTTTTCTGTTTTTCACTGGCCTCACCAAAAGACTCGATTTTCAACTTCTACCCTTCAAACGTGAGAGACCATTTTTAATGATCCACTCAGTACCTGATGGAAATCAAATCCTGTTCTACATTTTGTCTCATTTACATTTGAATGTGCAAAAATTGTACCTTTAATGGTACAACAGCTTGTCTCTGGGGCAGTACCTTTAAAGGGACATCTTGATTTTGCGTACGTACAAACATTTTCAGATTTATAAAGCCATGCATATGCCAGAACCTGTGCAAAATTCCCTTTGTAATACCCAGTCAGCGGAAGATTGTGCGTACATGAATCTCCACCCCGTCTCCTCCCCGAAATAGCCATTTATGGAGCTTACAACGCCTAGTTTTAATATGCATAATGTCATCTGCATATCATTTCCATGCATATTCCATCCACGTGACATCATGTTTAACGCAGTTAAGGGTAGGAATACGTTAGGAAAATATGAGATACAGATTATAAATGCGTTTTGAGACATCACATTGCTATTCAAATTTATGCAATTTTACCTATAAGGTAAACATATATTTTAGAATGTTTATAGCCTATATTTTAATGGAAAGAGATAGGCCTTATTTCTTGCAGTGTAAATAACTGTCTGACTCACCGCGTCAATAACAAAACAGTTTCCTTCAAATTCTATCTTTTAAATATGGTGTTTGTCACAATATTGGGAAGAGCACGAAAGGGGTTATCATTAGGATACTGTCTGTGCGTGACACCTGTGAACAGAGGTTCTAGAGTACTGTCTTCAGACCTGTTCAAACCAGCCAATGGACTGTTTGATCAACGAGCGCATCCTTTTGTCTGTCGTTGCCGTCTATGTTCCAAAGCCATCAAACAGTGAAGTTCACAAAAATGATCATTATTATGCACGCAAAAGTATTTTCTCAGAACATTTGTTTTGCTATTTAGAACACAATTTAAAGCGGAATTGTCATGC